TGTTGGTTTGCCAGAAAAGCTGGGCTCTGTTGATGGGAGGACAGCACTTGCACTCAGTCAGCCTCCTGCCAGCAGGATTGGGGGTTTTTGAAAAAGGCTGCAGGATGCATCCTGGGAGGTTGCTGTTAAAAACACTTGGCTTTCTTCACTCTGAGATACTCATAGTCCTGCCTCATTTTTTTCTGTGTTTTAAATGATGCATCACTTTGCTGCTAGGGTTTTTTTCTGTTCCCCTCCCCACCTGCCCCAGCAGACATCCTTTTCACCCTGGAATGAAAGCTGAAAGCAGAAACTGCTTTGCTCTTTCCAGTGCCACTCCCAGCTGAGCAAAGAGCAGATCTGCACAAGCAGATTCTGTACAGGCTACTTTGGAAACTCAATGGGTCTGGTTCACAATGCCTGTCAGGAAGTCCTGGTCATATGCTATTAGTTTTACATCTTTCACGTGGCATCTGGCAAGAAGCCCACACCTTATCTTCCCCCCTGCATACACCTGCCCCAATGACAACTCTTCTCCTGACCTCATTTTTTCCAAGCCATTCCACTAATCCATTGACTAATCTCTTAGCAAAAATTACAGTCAACCCTGCTGACACAACCCTAGACATAACACCCTATCCTACCACAGGAAAAGGGCAGCCAACCTCCTGCTTCTGTAAAGGTTGTTAAAATACATGAAAGAGATCCTAGGAAGAGAGCCATGCTCCCTGCTACAGAGGAAGGCAACGTTCCCCCCCACCCAACACTCACAGAGAACGTATGGATCTGACCATGGGGTAAAAGTCTTTCCTGACCCCAGATATGGTGATTGGCCTGACCCTGCCTGGAGGGGCAGGACCCTGTAGCCAGGAACCTCTGGGTTTAAATCTCAGCAGGAGCATTGGCACATATCAGTCAAAATCCCCAACCTTGTCTGCAGCCAGTGCCCAATGCCTCTAAGGAAGGCTTAAAAAAAACCCAACCCAAAATACAAAATCCTGGCACAGCTGCCTGGTTGGGGTGGGGGGCAGAATTCCCTCCCAACCCCATGCTGCAACCAGCAAAGCCCAGAAGCATGGGAAATACCTATAAAATAGCATAGGCATAGCTATTCCTACATCACTCCCCCAGCCATATGTATGTATGCAACCTCCTCCTAGGCACCTCCAGTGTTGAAGAATCCACACCTGCCCTGGGCAGCCTGTTCCACTGCCTCACTAACAGCTCTAACAGTGAAAAAGTTCTTCCTGATACCCACTCTAAACCCACTTTGCTGCAACTTCAAGCCACTACTCTGCATCCTACTCTGCAGCAAGAGAGAAAAGGTACTTTTCCTCTTTTTATGGCAGCCCTTCAAGTATTTGAAGACTGATATCATGTCCCTTCCTAAGCACCTTCTCTGCAAGCTGAACATGTCTAGTTCCTTCAGCCTCTCCTCATACGATTTGCTCTCCAAGCCAAGCCCCATTTTCATCTTCGTCACCTGCCTCTGGACTTTCTCCAGCTTCTCCATGTCCTTTCAAAATGTGGAGCCCAAAACTGCACATAATACTCTAGTGGAGGCCTAAACAATGCCAAGCGTTGAGGCACTATTACCTCTTGTGTTTTGCACCTAATGCTTCTGTGGATACCTCCCAAACCCACAGTCACCTTTTGTGCAGCTGCCCTGAGTCCCAGATCCTTCTGTCCTCTGTCATCAGTGACCAGTGCTGTCATCCAGCCAGGTGTCACCTGTTTTGTATTTGTGAGCATTCTTCCCAAGGTGGAGCTCCTTGCATTTTCACTACTGAACTTCACCGTTAGCTCCAGCCCAGCTTTCCAATCTGTTGAAATCCTTCCGAAATGCACTCCTGTCCTCCACCTTCTCTCTGTGCGCAGCAGCACCTCCTCTCCCCCATCAAGGGCAGAGGAAGGGAGGGCAGACTCTTACTAGCTTGAGGGACTTGAAGCAGTCTGCCTTCCTGGAGAGGGACAAAAACAGGCTGACAGGCAGGGCGCAGCCACACCAGCAGCTCAGGTTGCTCCTCCTGCACCCCGCTTTCCAAAATCTTTTATCTTCCAATACCATGAAGGCAGGTGAAGTTACCTAACAAGTCCTCTTTGCATGACCTAGGTAAGAGAGCAGGGATACATTACCCACAGTCCTGAAAGAGGCTGCTCCCACACAGCATGTAGGGGAACATCTCTTTCCTCCCTTTGTGGCTGCACCTCTGAGCCAGTCCAACTCTGTGCAACACCTTACGCACTACAGTACAGTCCGTCTCCCCTCCCACCCCATTGTCAGCTGTCAAGAAGTGGGATGGTCCTAGCCTAGACACCCCCTCCCTTTCAGACTGATGAGCAAGGATCCTGGTTTGCTCTGTTCAGAAATCCAACACTCTCTCATAAAAAACCCAAATTCTCCAATTAAAACACCCAAAATCCACATTTTTTCGTGATTAAAATGAAGCACTATATATACAGGTATCAGCTGAACATAATATTTTATTGATATATTTACAATATTAAAGCAATTTGGAAGCCTACCAGTGTCTCATTCATTGTAAGAAACTAAAATCTAAATACTTATATATTTTGGTGGGTTTTTTTTTTTTTTAATCATGGAAAATAGGAGCTCCACCAGCCCCCTTTTCTCACCAGGATGCGAGCCCATCTTCAGCAGTGCCCCTGCCCTTCCCCACCCCAACTGCTTTGTGGTGCTGAGTAGCCCTGATATACTGGTACCTCTCATTCCCAAGCCACTGCACCCCCAACAGCCCTGCCAGAGGGAGCTCCCAGTTGCTAAGGCTATGGGGGCGGCTGCAGCTGAAGAGGAGCATGGAGACCCATCCCTCCTCCTGTGAGGATGGCCCAAGCTGAGCAGACCCTGTTGTGGACGGGAAAGGACGTGCTGTGGGTTCGGGGCTCCCTACCCTGCTGCCCTTCCTCCTGGGGATCTTTACAGCCCAGTGGGCAGGACCTGGCAAAGGAGGGTGGAGAGGCTGTGCTGCCACCGCCACCACAAGGAGCTCCCACCACCAGCTGCTTTACAATGGTGAGGTTTCCCATGGCCACCCAAGCAGCAGTGGTGGGATGGTGGGCACCACCCCTTGGCAGCATGGCTAGCACAAGGGTCCTGGTATCAGCAGCAGCAGCGAGCATCATGCCAGGTCCCACCTGCTGAGCCACAGAAGGCAGCAGGGCTGGGAGCTCCAAATACCCCAGCAGGCAGCCTGCATCATTCCCTGCCCCATGCAGAAATCTGCACTCCTCCTCCATGGGAATGCACACAACAGTGGGGAGCTAACCCTCGCACCACCCCCGGGGATAAGCTGCCCATGGCTCCATCCCACTCCCCCAGCCAGGCCCTGTGGCTGCACATTTCTGTCCTTGCTGGGTAACACCCCCAGCTGCCAACCCTGCCCCACTCCCTGTGCTTTTCTCCCACAGTGGTTTCCTGCGCTCTTCTCCTTTAAAGGAGAAATTCCGCATTTTTCCGTGGCAAACAGAAAACCTGGATCTCTCCTGTTAAGTGATGAAATGGCTAACAGTATTGAGACTTAAAATATTGCTGATGTCTGAAGCAACATGAACTACATGGGGCAGCTCTCACTTTTCAGAACTATCCATGGCTCTTCACAGATTGGCAAAACTGTAACAGTTAACATTTACTTCACAGCTTGAAGGTTCCCTATGCCACCAGCTGGAGACTGACTTCCATTTATTTTTAGAAGTCAAAACTAGAAAACAACTGGAAAGTCATTGCCAACCCAGGCAGGTAACACCACACTCATGAAGAAGAACTGTCCCTGATAGCAATGGGGACTTTGGCAGCTACTCAGAAGTCTTCTTGGGCAGGCAGATCTGCAACTGCAAGAGTTTAAGCTCTAGAACAGCCTGGGAGCTGCATATAGTTAGTGTTCATTTTGCAAGCCTTCCCACCACACAATTTTGAAGTTATTTTTTCTCACTATTCTACTGCCTCGTCTCCCAACCCCACTCCTAGAAGCTTAGGGCTTGTGTATTGGAAGAGGGTGGACAAGGGTGTGGAGGGTCTAGGCTGCCTCAGGTCTGGCTTGGGCAGAAGGGTGCAGGGCAGAAACAGAGTTATACTGCTGGGTCCTGAAGCATAGCTCAGAGCCAGATCGCCACAGAGAGCTTTGACCGAGGCACATGGACTAAGTGTCAAAAACAGTGTAAGCACAGTTTATGTAAAAGTGAAGCAATGATCCTGGAGCAGCAAGGCTCGGGTGCAGGCAGCCTGAAGTTTGGAGCATGATTAAGACTGCCAGATGCCCTAACCAGGAGCATGTGTCAGTCTCACTAAGACAGAGTTATGAATTGACAGGTAGCTGCATGAACAGAAACCTTCAAGAAGCAATGCAAGCTCCCAATTGCAGTGGGAGTCTAGCATGGGAAAAAACACACTAAACTTTCCAAAATGGCAAAATCTGAATTTAATTTACAATGTAGTAAAGGTTACAGGTAAAAAGCTAAACAGAAAGCATGAAAAGGCCTATTACACAAATGTACAAACCTCATGGTGTCAGGCCCCATCCTGTACTGGCCTGTAAAGGCTTCAGAGCTCTGAAATAATGAGAGCTGGTACAATCCCAGGGACGAGAAGAGCTTCCAAAGTGACAAGCAGTAAAGTTCCCCTTCCCAAGGGAGATCTTGCAAGAAGTCACTTGTAAAAATAAAGTACTGTTCAATTTTTACTTGCCCTAACTACTTACACCCTAAAGAATTGTCTTCAAAACAGACTGGCAGGAAAGAGGAAGTCCTGAAGCCTAGGAAAAAATAAAGCTGAAAATCAAAAGAATTAGTCTGAAGTGCAAAGTGTAAAGTACTTGGAATGAAAGAAGATGAACAAGAGCCATTTTGGCTAGCTGAGCCAAATGGGATTGGGGTGGGGGGA